AGTAATGTCTCTTGTCATTTAAGTTCTGCACAATCTCCCCCTCTCTCCTTTAAACACTTGGCCCTTGTGTTAATTGTTCATTGTCAGGTTTTTAATTTGGCACAAGATGTCAAACATCAGAGTGACCTTTGAGCTGTGATCCAAACCTCTTTCAAAAGTTTTTTTTTGGGGGGGGGTGTTAAAATCTTCCTCTGAAGGTCAGTCTCCTGCCCCAACATACGCTACTTGAGAGAGAAACTGGCCTCCCCTTGCTGTCTTCCCTCTTTCAGAATCATTAGGAGAACGTTCAGATGAAAATCGGTGCTGGGTCTGTAGTTCTAGGTTTGCAACACCGTGGCAAATGCCTCTGAAGGATGGAGGCACCTTTCAAGGTCTCTGCTCTCGTGAGTTCAAAGCAATATAAACCCGCCTCTCTGAAAAGACCTTGGAGCCCGGCTGCAACTCACAGCAAGACATCCATAACACCAACAAGCAAAGTGCGTAATCTCAACCGGCACGTAACTCCTAACACCCTCCTGCCACCAAAAGGCCGTAGGAAATGTGTTCTAAATCCCCAGCATTTTATCAGCCCTCGGGGCGCCATCCCTCTTTCCCCCATCCACATTTGCGAAGTTGCTTCCCTCTCATAAAGATTCCAGCCCCTTTGGAGCTCCCAGGCAGGCTGCAACAGAGGCAAACCAGAGCCAGATAGTAGGATAAATCATCAAAGAGGCTGTCAGCTTGAACTGGGAGGAGATGTTGGGGCAGGAGAGGGCTCAGTAGGGAGAAAGGCATTCTGCAACAACAAAGAAGAACCTGCTGGATCAGGCCAATAGGATCCACCTGGTCTAGCATCTTGTCCTTGTGGGATGTAATCCACTGGGAGCAGTCAAATACAACATTCCTTGTTTTCCTAGAGTGGACATGCAAGAAACTTCCTGTTCCTCCTGTCCTGGAGCTTCCTTCCTTGCATGTGACTAGTGGATGGGCGTGACCTTTCCAGACCTGGTAAAAGGACAGGGCATGCTGCCACTCTCCTCTCTTTTTCATCTTCCTTTCATCCTGTGAACTGCTGGACTGCTAGCCTGCTGTCGCTAGGTCAACCCACATATGGGGTAAACCTGTTTGTATATGCTTGAAACTTTAAGCCTGCCTTCAGGGATCACACTGTGCTCTGCCTGATCATGAGTAAACTTTCTTTTTATTGCTTATGAATAACTGTGGTGTCTTTATTCTTTTAGGAGGGATTCAAGGGGCCTTACCAGGAAAATATTAGAACACATTTCATTGCCAGATTGAATTGCGTATTGTCTTAAGAAACTCCCACGAGTTTGCAACCAGTTTTCTGCTGTGTAAAGGGGAACGCACTCTGCTAAGTAAAGAAACTTGGTAACGCAAGTTGGGAAGGATATTAATAAACAATATATTCTCTCCTGCCACCCTGAACATTCCCACAGTCCTCACTGTGGCCAACCAGATGCAACAACGCTAAGCTTGCAAACAGAACATGAGCACAAGAGCTCTCTCCCCTCCTGTGGTTTCCAGCAATTGGTGTTCAGAAGCACGACTGCCTCTGACCATGGAGGCAGGGCATAGCCATCCTGGCTATTTTCCACCAACAAGCCTTCTTCTCCATGAGGCAGTCCTCTCCTGGTGAGGCCCTCACAGCACTCGTCCCCAAAGAGCTTTAAGGTGCCTAAGGAAGGTCTATGGGAAAGAAGGGCCATCATCTTCTGCAGCTGAAATTCTGGATATGATGGGAGGGAGGAATGACAACGAGGGAAGTGGGAAGGAGCAAGGGCGAGAAAGAAAAAGGGAGGTGGATATTTGGGAAGGGAGATTCTCAGTTCTGGAGGCTGCCAAGAAGCAGGAAACAATTGCGGGGGGTTGGGTGTCTGGAAATCTACACCATTTTTGGCAACAAGAAGAACTGAACTCAGCGCATGAGCATATAATTTGTCATGTCGGATAAGCAGGGAGGGGACCTTCCACACACCACATGGTAGCAACCACCTCCCCTCCTGGTTGTACAATGAGAGTGTCCACTTGACAGGAAACTGTGGCCAATCTTGGTTCCATGAGTTTGTGACATGAGTCCAGGGAGGCCTTAAAGGCAGGCTGCACCACCGCCTCCTTCAAGGGAGATGGTGCTCTCCCTTCTCCACTGAAGCAGTAATCACCCCCTGGTCCCACCCAGGCAGCTCTCTATGGCTAGCTCTAAGAAGCCAAGGTAGGTTGGGGTCAGGTGGTTGGCCACACTTCTTCAAGTAGCATCCAACTCGGATATTTATTCATTTATATATTCATTTATTGCATTTATATCCCACCTTTTCTTCCAGCGAGCTCAATATGGCAAGCATGCTTCTTCCCCCTCCCCATTTTATCCTCACAGCAACCCCGTGAGGGAGATTAGGCTGAGAAATGGTGATTGGCTCAAGGTCGCCCAGTGAGCTTCACAGCTGAGATGGGACGCTTGACTTGGGTCTTTGAGGTCCTAACCTGGCACTCCAACCCAGGCATAGGCAAACTCGGCCCTCCAGATGTTTTGGGACTACAACTCCCATCATCCCTGACCACTGGTCCTGTTAGCTAGGATGATGGGAGTTGTAGTCCCAAAACGTTTGGAGGGCCGAGTTTGCCTATGCCTGCTCTAACCACTGCACCACAATGGCTCTCTGTATCCTTTGGGTGATATTTATCAGCTCCTTTAGGTGATACGAATCACAGGCCTTATCCACAAGGTTTCAGTAGCAGCATAAGGCGTTTGCTAAGGAAGCCTGAGGAAGCTGGAAATCCAGGCCTCTCCTCCACCTCCACGAAACCTCCAGAGGCAAGCATGTCATCGGCTGACCCTCCATTTGCCAGCATTTGTTTCTGACTCTCCGGAGGGAGCACCAGGGGGCTGCCGCCTCCTGCTAAACTCTGACACTTTTCAAATCCAAATCTCAAGCCCTGACAACGCTAAGACAGCCCATCAGCAGCCCTTTTGACATTCAGATTCCTCCCTCTTGCACTGCTCCAGCTTTGAGAAGGGCTAGGCAGCATATTTGTACCAGAAGACCATCGCGGGTTGAGGGGAGGGGGGGGGAAGGAAAGTCTGTGTCGAGCAACTTCTGATCCGGGAGGTAGGGCTGCTTGGGGATTTGCTCTGCAAAACACCCACCTTTCCCTTTTCGCCTTTCAGCCAGTCTGACGCATGCCGCTATGTATTCCATTTGCCCTCTGCAGACCCTCCATCCCTCCTCCAGCAAAGACAGATAATCCATCTCTCTCAAACAATATTGCTGGCACCGGTCTTGTGGACTGCATGCTGACCTTCCTGAATCTGGAGCCTGTACAAAGTTGCCAGCTCTGCTCTTGACGTGGGGTGGGGGGGGGGTGGGGGGGGAGGAGAGAGAGAGAGAGAGAGAGAGAGAGAGAAAGGAAGGAAGGAAGGAAGGAAGGGGAGAGGCAGAATCACCCAGAAAAAGTCTTCCCTACTTCCCCACCACAGAGATTACGGTACTTCTCCTTCTCCAGCTATCCCCGGGGCAAGCGATACTCTAGGTGCGACTTAGCTGGAGATCTGTTATTAATTCTTTTTCTTATCCATTTCATTTTTCTACTGCTTTAGATTTTAAAGGCGGGGGGGGGTCTCAAAGCAGTTTAAAGCACATTCAAACATCAAATAAAACAACAATATTTATTGTTTTTAAAGTATTTCCTTTTTAGTTTCATAGTTTCAAAAAAAAGAAAACGTACTTTGAGTTGCATATTGCAAAGAGAAAATATTGTGGTGCCAATGCCTTCTTTTATATTGAGATCAGCAACCTTTGCACTCTCTGCACTTCAGTGCAGATATGAACATTATTCTTATTATTATTTAGATCTGAACTCTGCCTTCAGGCTGGGTGAAAGGGAGGGGGGTTAGTTTGACATTATTGTTTTCAGTTTCTTAGACACCTGCAACAACGAACGCTCTGAAGGCCACTTGCCATATACGACATTAAAATCTACATCTGAAAAATATTTCCTTATCCCATTCTTTGCGAGGTATATTACTACAACCAAATTCAAAAGACACACACACACACAAAGTATAATAGAGAGAGGTGTACCTTTTAGTGATAATAGCTAAGGTATGGTATTAAGATAGAGGACACCATAGAAGGAAAAAAGGGAGGAAGGTAAAAGGACAGGGGATAGAAGAGAGAAAGAAAAAGGAGAAGGGAACAATAAAAAATAGGAGAAGAGAGGCGGGAAGGGGGGAAAGTGTGTGCGTGTGATGCAAAAGAGAGGTTTTCGAAGCTAGATAGCTGAAAACAGTTTATAAGGTGAGATGCTATCTTCAATTAACTGAGTATGTAATCACATCTAATGAAAATGTATTATTTGTTTCCCACATTTACTTTCCCCTCTTAAAAAAAAAAACAAACCACAATGGCGAGACACCACTAAGATGTCTGAACTACATGACAATGCGAAAGCATTTATCTGAGCCTTAAACAAAACAAAACAAAACAAAAAAATGTTTTTTGAGAAGAAGATAAACCTTTCTCCTTCCCATTCCCCTCTGCCTGCACTGGGCACATGGTAAGCAAAAAAGTACTATCCCAACATTGTCTTTCACAAGTTTCTACAAACTACAGGCAGTCGAAAATCACGCTCTTTTGCCATTCCGCACGAAAGAAAGTCTGACCAGATAATACGTAAATTGTCTGTTGCGGAGTTTCCCCTTCTTGCACTTAGTTTGAGAGTTAATTTCTCCACGAGGGTGGGGTGCCAGGTTGGAGGTGTCTGTTCTGAAAGCAGTTCACCAAAGTTCTCCAGTGCTTTGAAATTACGAATCTCTGATTTAAACTAGAATACAAAGCAGGGAGGTGAGAGGAAGTCATGGAAACAAGTAAATGGGAAAATGGTTGTAATGGTCTAATTTGATTTTTGTCATTTTCTATTGTGATTTTTTGTTTTTTTTGTTTTTTTTATTGTCTGTTTTTTGTAAGATGTATGTGGGTTTTTTTTCCTATATCTTTTTTTTTTTTGTAACTTTAAAATTGGAATAAATATTCTTTATAAAAAAAATGAAATTACGAATCTGGCTTCTACAATACGATGTTTCTGCTAGCTAGGGATGGTGGGAGTGGTAGTCAAAAAAACAGCTGGAGACCCAAGTTTGGGGAAACCCTGCTCTGGAGGAAGATAAATGCAACAGCAGCTCAAGGGTGCATTTTGTTCTGGTTTTGTTTGCAACACCTATGACATCACCACGCATCAGATGTAGCGTTATGATGTCATCAACATGTGGGCTGCCACAGCCAATTGGATTAAAGGGCAGGGTGGGCTAGTGAGACCAAGCGCAGTGAAGGCAAAAACCCAAAATTTTATTAAACCAACCCAAATGTATTTGTGGCAAGTTCTGAAAATCACCGCATTTCTCAATGCTTTGCAGAAAGGAAACAGGGCAAGTAATTTTTGGCTCAGCCCTACGTATAACAGAGGGAACTCAAAATAGGCACCGTCTCAGGCAACTCACATCTAATGGCAAATACATATAATGGCACATCTAATGTCAGCAGAATGAGATTGGCCTCTGCTAAAGGGAAGAGGCACAAAATCAAATAAGCTTAAAATACCACTGGTAATGACAGCCCAGGACCAGACCAAACCAACAGCGAACACACCCTGAGAGGACTTCCTTCTGCAGGGAAGAAAGCCTTTCCATGGAAGGAGCTGGCCTCTCAGCTGCACCTGGAATGTCGACAGTAGCCATTCCTACAGAAAGGCAACGTGAGAAGAGTGGGTTTGGGAGGGCCAGATAAAAAATGCCAAGAGGACTGCATCTCTCCCAAGGCTGAGGTTTCGCCCCAATCCACTTGCAACTGCTGACCATGCTGGTGACACCCAACTCTACACCCCCTTTTTATCAAATCTGGATTTATTGTGGATGACTGGGGTTGATAATGGGCCAATACACTGAAGCTCTTTCTCAATAACGGCTTGGAGGTGGTTCATCTGATTTGGGAGATGGTGTTCAGGCTGTCCTGAATGGAGCTAATGCGCTCTCCCTTAAAAGTGATGCTGCGGGTAGGGGAGGTGTGCCATTAGATCTGACTTTCCATCCAGAACTCCAAGTGGCCTCAGTGGTTTTGGCTGGTCCACCAGTTATAGCCTCTCCTAGATAAGGTTAGTGAAATATACTCGGAGTTGAGTGTGAATTTCATGCTCTTTATTCAGTCTTTAAGACTGAAGCTTTCCCCAAAACGTCTAGCTATATATACATTATTTACACAATGAGCCCCACATGATTGGCTAATTCCGGGATGCTCCTGTAGGCCAATCAGGTTGCGGGTTCACCTCCTCCAGAAGCCTAATTGGCTGCTCCTGCAGGCCAATCAGGTTGCTGATTCACTTCAACCAGGAACCTGATTGGCTGCTCCTGCAAGCCAATCAGGTTGCTGATTCACTTTCACCTGGAGCTGGATTGGGTGGCTCCTGCAGACCAATCAGACTGCTGCATTCTGGATCCTATTGTTCTAGGATTCAGCTCAGTACATAACAGTTAGCTTAGCCACAGTTCTTTGTGCCCATCTAGAGAACACGGAGCTGCCTCGAAAACGGACCTCAAAGGACAGGCAGTAGTACAGAAGACAGCAAGAGGGTCCATGGACTACTAGGCCACGGCTCACAGAGGACATCTCCGTAGGGCAACAGCTATGCTGGCTCCCTGTCTATTTCTGGGGATGTTTCAAAGTGCTCTCAATGCCTTAGGGCCAGGACTCCTCAAGGATCAACTCCTCCTGGGTGATTATTCATATCAGAAGCTCTTTCACGAGACCCTCCACCGCTGAGAAGAGACAAGGGCAGACCCATACCATGGCCTCTTCTGTTGAGGAATGATACTGCCCAAATGCTCACATGGTAAAGATGATTCATCTGCAGAATTTAGAGGGTACAGGAAGCCCTCTTGGTAGTTCCTCTGCCCTCAGAGGCTCGGGGGGGGCACAATCCAGGAGAGGGTCTTCTCTGTGGAGGCCCCTAAGTTGTGGAACTCCCTCCTCACAGGGGTGTGTCTGGCACCTTCATTATACAGCTGAAGACGCATCTCTTCACCCTGCCTTTTGACCCTGGACATGTATATTTATAGGACCCATCATACTTCCACTAATTTTAAGTTGTTTTAATCTGTTTTTAATACGGTGATTTAATACTGTCACCCACCCTGAGACCAGAGCATGTAGGGCAGGTAATCAATCAATCAATCAATCAATTAATATTTGGAATCAAATTAAGGGTTTTTTTGGGGGGGTGACCCTTCCCCAAACTTCTGACCTTCTGTTCTTGACCCTGGTGGATCAGGAACAGGATGCAGTCGGGTCACTCTGTTTAAATGATTTGGTGCCTGCAGAGCTCCCATTAACATCTGCCAGACTGCAGACATCTGGACAATTTATGGACAGTAGCACAAATTCTCCATGGCTGCCCAGACAGGTGACCATCTGTCTCCTCAGGTATCACCATGAATGGAAACCTGCCTATTAAAAACAAGGTCCCTGTGGCCAGTCTAAGAACACTACGTGTGTGCTGTTTAAATTAATTTTATTCCATAACCCTACCTGTTCTCCATGTTGACCATGTTGGCTGGGGCTGGAGCAGGCTGGGGTCCCAGACTGGTTGAAGCCCAACACCATCTGGAGGGCATTTCATCTGTTACCCATATTTTACAAGTTCCTAGTCCGTATAGTTAAAGCTATGGTTTTCCCAGTAGTGATGTATGGAAGTGAAAGCTGGACCATAAAGAAGGCTGATCGCCGAAGAATTGATGCTTTTGACTTATGGTGCTGGAGGAGACTCTTGAGAGTCCCATGGACTGCAAGAAGATCAAACCTATCCATTCTTAAGGAAATCAGCCCTGAGTGCTCACTGGAAGGAAAGATCGTGAAGCTGAGGATCCAATACTTTGGCCACCTCATGAGAAGAGAAGGCTCCCTGGAAAAGACCCTGATGTTGGGAAAGATGGAGGGCACAAAGAGAAGGGGACGACAGAAGACGAGGTGGTTGGACAGTGTTCTCGAAGCTACCAGCATGAGTTTGACCAAGCTGCGGGAGGCAGTGGAAGACAGGAATGCCTGGTGTGCTCTGGTCCATGGGGTCACGAAGAGTCAGACACGACTGAACAACTAAACAACAACAAGTCCTCAGAGGGAAGAGAGACTGTCTCTACCATCAGGGAATAGTCATTTGCACCTACCTTTCCCCACCCTCCATCCCCAGGTGCCTTCAAAAGGGAGCCACTGGCAAAACCTTGTGAGTGAGGGGCGATTTCTGGCCAGTTGTGTCTAGCTGTAGAGATTTGGGGGAAGGGGGCGTTGCTAGGCCCCAGTGCCATTGCCTCTGGGGGTCCTTTAGGATGTGAATATATTGGATACTGCTTTTCATCTTTATCCACACCTTCTGATGTGTTTCCAATAGAGCGGTCCTGGAGCAACGTCAAGTTGCCTGAAAACTCAGCCACGTTGCTCTCACGGCAACCAGCCCATTGAGCCGCACGTCTCCTTCCCATTGTTTCATGAGCATCATCGCAGCTCAGCCGAGCTCCTACACCCTCAAAAGCAATTCGTTTTGAGCAGGGAGATCCGCCGTCCTCCAATTTTGTGCAATCAAAAGCTCAGCTAAGGATAAATTTCGTTCGGTTCTGAACAAGTTCTATATAATTGTCCGCTATTATGTCTCATTGTGACCTGGGATGTCGGGTGAGGGGCGGGGAGATGAAGAGATGTTTCCCTTTGTTCATTTCAGACCCGTTGAATGTTAATTCCGCCACTCTTGGTATGGTATAGAAAAAGTCTACGCCAGCCTTCCAGGTTCCGTTCTGCCATCCTGCCCATCCACAATTATTCCCTTCTCTCTTCCCCAACCCTTTTCAAACCCACCTTGTGCAGGGAGAGATGTCTCCTGCCCTTGATCGTAATTGCTCCTCTTCATTTCACTTGCTCTATTATTTCCATTTTGGAACTGGGACAATGGAGGCTCCGCACACATTGGGCTGTGCCATTGATTTCTATTAAGGCGCTACAAAAGCAACCATCAAGGGTGCTTTGCAGCCACACAAGGTGAATGGGAGAAACTGGCTGATGATTTCACAGTGGATTACGGGAGCCTCTGGTCCCAGCCCAGAGAAGCATGAGGAGGACTTTTAAAAAGCTCTGCTGGGATTTTTGATTTGTTTTAAAACATTTAAATAAATAACCCCCCTGTTATTTATTTAATAACTGTTGTTTAAGAAGCAACACAACTTCTGCATTTTTCCTGACCATCTAGAGGTGATCCATGTGCTATTTGCAAACCTGGAGTTGTCTCTTCCCATCCCCACTCCAAGGCATTCAGGTGACGGACGCACCATTTTACAAATGTGGATAATGTGGGATGAGAGAAGACGATGCACTCGGCTCTCTGGCCCAATTCTGCACTGCAACCACTTCAAACGAGGGGGCCCACGGAGAGGGAGGAAGGCAATCCAGGATATGAGATGTTGGATTGTGTATCCCGGTGCTAGTCCTACTCAGGGCAGACCAATTGGAAGTTTAATGAACATGGTGAACTTAGGCCTATCAATTTCAATGTGTTTCACCTGAGCAGGACTTAGTTGGAGACAACCCAATGTGTCCAAGTTCTGACATTGTAGGAATCAGATTCACCCTGAACCCCTTGTTCATGGAGACAGGAATAGCAGCTCCCTGAGTCTGGAGGGTGCAGGACAAACCCCCACACTGGTCCAAATACAGACTGCATTTTCCATTGACCTGTTTATTGTTTATTTATTTAATGCACTTTTAATTCCTACTTTCTTCTCCAGTGAGCTGAAGGTGGTTCTTCCCCTCCTCATTTAATCCCGACAACAACCCTGTGAGGTGGGTTAGGTTCAGGTGCAGCGACTGGACCCAGGTCACCCAGTGAGCTTCGTGACCAAGTGGGGATTTGATCTGAAGCAGCATGCTTCTGAATACCAGGTGGTGGTGGTGGGGAATCATAGGAATGGGGGCTTTGTGTGCCTCTTGTGGACTTCCTAAAGGCATGTTGCTGTCTACCTGTGCAAAGGTGGAGTGGGTGGAGCTCTGATGCACCTGCAAGGCTTGGCCTTCGTTCTTTGGGCCAAAGGCGAGATCTCAAAATGAAATCTTAAAATGAAAAGCTCTCGTGATCCACGTAACTTTGCCAGAAAGAGGCTTCTGAGGGGCCGATAATGACACACTCGCAGCTCCCCTGCAGGCAGCTGTGCCTTCCCTCTCCCAAGGCCTGCTGGCCACCAAGCCACCCATTCAAAAGTGCCGCCCTCTCTTCAAAGATCAGCTCCGCCATCTCTCGCTCAAACGGCAAGGAACAGAGCCTGCCAATCGGCGCCAGACCCCCTCAGGCGCTTCAGAAAAGGCCTTTCGGCAAAACAGAAAACACACAAACACAAACCCTGCCCTGGGTGACGGGGAGACGTACCAATTTTCCTAATCAGTTAGCAATTTCGCAACACAGAGGAGACGGGCAAAAACAGTAATTAGCTCCTAAGCTGTGGAGAGCAGGTAGCAATCAGGGCGAGCAGCATTCACAACTCCTTGGCAAGGGCGATAAACGCTGCTTTTGCCCTGGGCCCAACGCGATCCGTAGCAAGGCAAGGGCCTCAGGAACCACCACAGGCTTCGAGGCCTACCCACTGCCTGCTGCTCGGTGGGTTATGAAGGAGTAGAAGACATGACTTGGAAGGAAGTAAATCATGCCAAGGAGCAAATAACTCCATACTTTACATAGCTATTTGTATTTTTATCCAATTCCTTTAAGGGGAAGGGGGTTTACAGTGTTAATTTATTATTTCCTACCCTTCTCCCAACATGCCTGGAGGGCCCCAAGCACTCTCTTGCCCTGATCCAGGTCTGCTTAAGCCAAGGGTCAGCAAACTTTTTTAGCAGGGGGCCAGTCCACCATCCACCGACTATATTTTTCTGAGGGGGAATGAACAAATTCCTATGCCCCCAAAATAACCCAGAGATGCATTTTAAATAAAAGCACACATACTACTCATGTTAGAACACCAGGCAGACGCCACAAATAACCCAGAAATGCATTTTAAATAAAAGGACACATTCTACTCATGTAAAAACATGCTGATTCCTGGACTGTCCGTGGGCCAGATTTAGAAGGCGATTGGGCTGGATCTGGCCCCAGACCTTAGTTTGTCTACCCATGGCTTAAGCTGTCCAGCAAGGTGGATGCATTCAGAGCCTTGTGCTCTTGAACTGGGAACTTGACACTCCTGAGGCTTAAATATGTATTTCAATCTCTAGGCGTTTCTTTTCCAAACCTCCTCGTTCGTCAACCTGGTGCCCCTCTTTCCCCACCCACTGACCAAGTCTCTTCATTCTCACTGATGTGGGCCACCACCACCTCTGCCCTGTCTTGTGACACATGCTGTGATGCTTAAATTCCAGGAATTCAAGCAGGAAACAAACTGGAAGCTGGTGCAGATCTTGAAGAACTGCGGAAATGTGGTTCCAACAGCTGGCTCTGCCCAGACAATGGAGTTTCACTGTGTTTCGGACCGGCTGCAATTCCCGAGTCAACTTCAAAGGCATTGTCAGTGTCCGCAGAGAGTGTTGTACTGTATTGTACTGTAAAAAGAAGTGCCTGTTGGATCAGGCCAGTGCCCAACAAGTCCAGCATCCTGTTTTCATCATCCTGTGGCCAACCAGATGCCCCAATGAGAAGCACATCCGAATGACAAAGAAGCAGCAGCAATTCTCCCTCCCACTTGGAATTCCTAGCAAGAGGTAAATGGGGCGGGCACAGCACGAGGCGAGGGGGTCACAGAGGGAAGTGAGAAGTGAAGAAAAAAATCAATTTGGTTGTTTTTACAAATCCTGATCGCCTGGCTATCTGCTTGGCTAATCACAATCGGGTAAGGGAGTGGCTCACCAGGGCCCAATTCTCCTTTTTGCCCCATGCGTTTCTTTGGAGCAGTCCTGGTTTGTTTCCAGTGGAAGAAGGTGATCACTGAGGATCCTGTTTTGATCTGTAGAGCCCATGATCCAGAACCCCCAGGTCAGTTAAGTGTGGTGGTGGTGTGGCAATGGGTAGGGCTGGGCAAGCCAGAGCTGCTTGTTGATACCGCCAGTGCTGGGCCCGGTGGCAGCCTGGGCCTGACTCTGCAAGGCGCGGGGTGAAATCCACCCCAGCATCTAGCAGAGCAAGGTCCTCTGGTGCTGCTGACTTGCATCTAGTAAATAACTAAATGTCTACTCAGAAGAAAGCCACACTGAGCTCAGTAGGCTTTACTCCCAGGTAAAGTATGGGGAGCTAAAATGTTTTATCTAGGCAGCCAGGGCTCCTCCAGATTACAAGATCTTTTTGCAGCAGGTCAGTGAGGACCACTTGCTTTTTAAAATTCTCCCATATATACAGAACTCCCTGTACGCCTTTTGGACTGTATCTGTAGGTTTCCCCCGTCTGGAATACATGGAAGATGAATCTTCCTTGGGAGGTTCTGGCCTCTCCTTCCTTGAAGGTTTCTAAGCAGAGGATGGATGGCCATCTGTCATGGAGGCTTTAGCTGAGTTTCCTACATTGCAGAGGTTGCACTTGGGGTCCCTTCCACTTCTGTGATTCTACAATTTTATGCTTTTATGCTTCAACAATACTCCATTATGTTCCTATCAGTTTATGTAATTGTATTTTGTATAAATTATAAAAATTATAAATAAAACATGTTCTATTTACAAACAAAAACTTAAATAGCTACCTTTCTAGGGCAGGGGAGTGCATGGGCATAGCCGGGATTTTTGTTAGGGGGCAGGCTTTTGTTAGGGGGCAGAACCTCAGATTTGTATTGTTTTTTGTATATTTTTACTTAATTGGGGGACAGCTGCCCCCCTGGCTACACCGATGGGGGGCACAGGAAGAAAAGAAGGTCAGAAGGGGGCCATGGTCAGGAAAAGGTTGGGAAACACTGATCTAAACTGACATTTGAAGGAGAACTGGGAGAGTGTAGGGCGGTTGGCTGAAGTAACACCAAGGGAACTCTCAAAAGCACTAGCAACATTCCCAAAAGGGGTCCTGAGCTTCCTTACTCTCAAGCCAAACCTCTAAATTGCACTTTACGCTTGAGGGAATTGTGAGAGCATTTGGGGAAGGGGCTGTACCTGGAGAGGGGGACCCTGGGATGAGCACAAGAAGAGCCCTGCGGCTGGGTCAGAGCAAAGGCCTGTCTAGCCCAGCGTCCCGTCCTCATCGTGAGGGGAGAGACTTCATCAGACAAGGGCTTCTCCGACTTGCCTTGCCCCATCCTCTGGCCCTAGGAGTCCTCAGAAGGGAGCTGGTCCTGGAAGAAGAACTGTGAGGGGAGAGACTTCACCAGACAAGGCCTCCTTTCACCTGCCTTGCCCCACCCTCTAGTCTCTGCTTCTCAATTTGTATTGTACAGTGGTACCTCAGGTTACAGACGCTTCAGGTTACAGACTCCGCTAACCCAGAAATAGTACCTCGGGTTAGGAACTTTGCTTCAGGATGAGAACAGAAATCGCACGGCGGCAGCGGGAAGCCCCATTAGCTAAAATGGTACCTCAGGTTAAGAACAGTTTCAGGTTAAGAACTGACCTCCAGAACGAATTAAGTTCTTAACCCGAGGTACCGCTGTATTATTTTATGTACTGTGGCTTGCTGTTGTTTTACTGGTTATAGTTTAGAAATTATTTATTGTAACTGTTAAGAGTGAATTTCTGTTTAACTTTTATATGCTTATACTGTATTATTATTTTTTACTATTCTAATGATTGTTGAATGTTACTTTTTTGATGCAGGTTGCTTATTTTAAAGTTATGTTTTATTATCGCATTTTTGTATTGCATTGGATTGTTATAAGGTGTGCATTTTGCATTTTTCGTTGTAAACTGCCTTGAGTATTGTAAGATAGAAAGACGGTATACAAATTAAAAATGATGGTGATTGTGGCCATCCAGGTATTCCAATGGGAAGTCCACAAGAGGGGCCAGAGCCATCAACAAGACCCTCAATACCTTCCACATGTGCTTGGGTCACCCCTGGAGCATGCCGCTCACCAAGCACACGCTAAGTTTGGAAGTCAGCTACAGAAATAGGAACACCAGCAAGGGTAGTGTGAGTCCCGGTTTGTGGATTTCATGAGCCTCTTTCTATTTTTATGAATGCCATCTTTTAGGAGGTGGGCCCTTTTTAACCCACTTTCCTTGTTTATGACAACAGGGATACAAAAATTACAGCAAAAGCACTGCCGTAAACTCTTATTCCAGCACACTGCTGAGAAATGTACTTAGATGAGAGAGAGAGAGAGAGAGAGAGAGAGAGAGAGAAGTCATAATCCTCAAAAGCAGGTTTATAGTACTGCAAAATTGTGCAGTCCTTAGCAACACAGGGTTCCTCCTTTCCACTGGAAAAAAAATATATCTGTTGCAGTGAGCAATTGTGGGGAGGGGGGGATCCAGGGATCCAATAAGGCAGCAGAGGGGGGTGGGGGGTTGTGGGAGCAGAACCTGTGGCACAGGAGTCCTAAGAGACTGCCGGAGGTTGCAGAAGGTCAGGAGAAGTTAAGTGCTCAATTTCATGACACCATTATCCAGGGAAAATTACAGCCACGTGTGCAATTGTGTGGCCTCCAACAGCTGCATCCAGAGGCATTCCTGCGTCCTTCCATCCCTAGCTTGCAAAAAAAACACACCATTTTGGGAGAAAAGCTGGAGGGGATGCAAGGCAATGATTTGCAATGATGGCCCTCCAGTAGAAGTGGCTCTCGCCTCATCCAAATTTGCCCAAAGGTCAAGCAGGCACTACTTTTGAACCACCACTGAAGCACCCAAGGGGTTTCCCTTCCCCTGCGGACTGAACCATAAAACACTCTTATAGTTGTGAGATATGGGGGGTCCTTCTCTTCTCTCCTCCATGGTGTGCAAGGCTAGAAAAGAGCCAGAGTGTTCAGCCAGCACTTCCTGGCTCCTGCAACACAGGAGACGAGGGAATGGGGAGGGCCAAACCATTATAGAAATGGATGTGTGGTGGCACTGGGAAGACCCAGGTTCATACCTCCAACTTAGCCATATTGCTTCCTGAGCGGCCTATCTCGTGGGGATACCGGGAAGACGCAACAAGCATTGGCGAACCTCCCAGCCATCACAAGCAATTTGGAGGACGGGCAAAATAAAAATGTACACGGTGACTTATTGTTCATTCATTAAGCAAGCACTGGTGCTGTACTGGAGGAAATAGGGATGTTGTGGTTCCTGCACGATGGACATGGAATCTAAGGGCCTCTTCCCACATTAGGTTTTTGGGGTGTTCCACACCAAATGCATGTGCAACAAAGAGAAGTCTGCTATCATTTAAATAAGGGCCTGTTCTAGACCGTAAAACAACTTTATCTGCCCCTACTGAGTTTTCATCAGGAGGTGGTGATTAGAAGGACCCATTTCACTCCTAGGAACAGTGGCGCAGTGGAGATCAAGTTTTAAGAGACAGGTGCAGGCCAGCCCAAAGGCTACATCTCCCTGGGTTTTGCATCAGACATGTGCCATCTATAACTCAGTTGGTTAGAGTGTGGTGCTAATAACACCAAGGTTGCAGGTTTGATCCCCGTATGGGACAGCTACGTATTCCTGCACTGCAGGGGGTTGGACCTCAGGGTCCCTTCTGACTCTACGATTCGATGCCTCGGCTGCACCAGAGCTGTGGAGCTCTTACTCCAGACACCACAGCTGTGGAGCTCTTACTGTTGGAATTGCCAGCTGCATTAGTCTGTTAGTTCAGCTGAAGAAGTCGATTTAGGTTAGGCACAAGACACTCCCAGCTCTGGACTGCTTTCTGGAAGCAAAGCACCCCTGAGAGCCCAGAGGAGGTTTAAACTGGATCCCTGGAGGATATATAGATATATAAGTATGTATGTATGTAAAGGGACCCCTGACCATTAGGTCCCGTCACGAACGACTCTGGGGTTGCGGTGCACGAAAACGCCATTTACCTTCCCGCTGGAGTGGTACCTATTTATCTACTTGCACTTTGTGCTATCGAACTGCTAGGTTGGCAGGAGCAGGGACCGATCAACGGGACAATAAAGCACACAGATTAAAACACCCAAACGACAGGTCACCTCCAGTTGCTGGCACAGCCTTGACCTAGTTTTCACTGCAGCCAGAGTAAAACAGGCAGCCTTTGGCCACATCTTAGCAGCTGGGGAGAAGTCATAGCATCCAATGTGGTGATGGCGGTGGGAATGAAGACAATGGAGAGAGAGACAGAGAGCTTCCCTCCTGGAGCTGACAACACATAACAGGAAGGGCAATCCCAAAACTAAGCAGCAGCTTGGAAGGATTTAAAAGAGATGGGGAGCTGGCTAGATTTGGAGACTGTTATGGCGCTGTGGTTAAATCACAGAACCTAGGGCTTGCCGATCAGAAGGTCGGCGGTTCGAATCCCCACAACGGGGTGAGCTCCCGTTGCTCGGTCCCTGCTCCTGCCAACCTAGCAGTTCAAAAGCACGTCAAAGTGCAAGTAGATAAATAGGTACCGCTCTGGTGGGAAGGTAAACGGCGTTTCCGTGTACTGCTCTGGTTTGCCAGAAGCGGCTTAGTCATGCTGGCCACATGACCCGGAAGCTGTACGCCAGCTCCCTCGGCCAATAAAGCGAGATGAGCGCTGCCACCCCAGAGTCGTCTGCGACTGAACCTAATGGTCAGGGGTCCCTTTACCTTTATTGCTAAAGCCGCCAGGCAAAGGGACAAAACGGTTTTATGCCCAAACTTGTGGTGGATCCCACAGCATCTCCATGTCTAGGCAATGGGGCCTGCAGCACTCAGACAGCCCTTTCAATGGGTCCAGTACGTTTGCAACATCCCAGATGTGGGACCTACCCTGAGCCAGGCTTGTGCATGTGTGATAATGTCATCCAAGCCCAGGGAAGTTGAAGAAAGCAAGTTGGCCTTGAGAGTTCAGCTCCAAAGTCTGAATTTGGCCTCCACGTTACAACAGAATATTTAAAGAAGTTTGGGATGATTTGCATTACTCTAGAGGAACATCCTTCTCTCTCCCACAAACATGCCTAGACCCTAACAGTAACTTATGTATTTTCAGAGCTGATTTCAATGCGGGATTTCTTTTTTTGAGTGAAGACCTTAATTCAACCCAACTGAGCAGCATCAGCATCCTTCTCTGGGATACAGGCAAAAAACCAACAACTGATGAACAATGGAGTGGGTGCATGTTAAACAGAGCAGACTAACATGGGGAAGAGGTGAGAGAACCCGATTTCCAACTGGTGTAAACCTTCCATTTTCTAAAGTCCGTAAAGCAGAAAGTGAGAACTCAGAATTGGCAGCAATGATTTTTGCAGGCACTGATCAGGGAAATTATCCCTAAACTCAATATCTGTTTATGCAGAAGCAAGTCCCACAATGTTCCACAGGGCTTCGTTCCAGGTAGGGGTGAATAGGAAATAATAAAGTGTAATTGAATATGTATTGCTTTCTTATATTAGAGGGATGTTTATTTCAAGAGCTTGTTCTAAAGTTCCTTTTGTTTCTGTTTGGCTTTCCTAACCGCAGATAATCAAACCTTCCTTTCTGTTTATGGCTGTGATTCTGCTTTTGGTTTTCAGTTTTGATACCTTATTTAAGCACCTTAAGCAGTTCAGAGGACTCTACCAGAGGGCCTATTTCTATAAGCAGATGTTAGATGGGTCTCTGTCATGTATGATTTAGTTAAGATTCCTGTATTGCAGGGGGTTAGACTAAATGAGCCTCAGGGGTCCTTTCCAACTCTACAATTCTATGAATCTATGATATATTCCATATATTTTAATTTTATTTGCTAAGTTATACATAACCACTGAGTGCAAACCAATATATTGCACTTCCTTGCAGCAGGTTTACTCAGAGGTAAGCCCCACTGCAAGTGGAGTGCAGGAGTGCGTCTTAACACGGGTAAAACGCATGTAAGAAACAAAACAAAAACATGTTAATTTCGTTTCTTAAAAATGGGAACTAGTAAATCTCCAGATTTCTTGCATTTCTATGCTGCGTTAAAGACTCCCTGCTACTTCATGGAACAGAGAAACCTCTAAATGACAAGTCATATTCTTTCCTTTCAGCGGGAAGGGGAACACCGCCCCCCCAACACACACACACACACACCCCAAAAAAGCTATTTTGATCTGCTTGGCACGGCTGCAGTTACACGGGGGGGTGACCACAAGGTGGCAGTAGACACAAGATGAATATATATCACCAGGTGATTTGCTCTAGAGCGACTATAAACCTGCTAAGATGAAGAAGTGGCTGTGAAGGATCACGCCGAGTGAGGGTGAAGAGCTGCAAAAAAAAAAGAAGAAGAAAAAAGGAAGATCTCTATGGCGGGGTTTGTCTTGACAAGCCTCAGGCTTCTCCTGCGTGAAAGCTATGAAAGGCGTAGGACCCACAGTCCGTACACTCCTTTTCACCTGCTTGCACACCTGTAAAATCAGGATATCTGCAGAGCAATAAAAGGGGGGAGGGCGCTCCTAGCACTGTTTATTGGCAGGCCTGAGACATCTGCGCATCTTTTTTTTTTTTTAATGAAATCTCCTCTCCCACCACACTTTCTTTTAAATTCTCACACAAGGGAGGTTTTTGTGACTCACAGGTTGAAAGAGCAAGAGAGGGTTAGAGGGGCAATTCTGCCCTCCAAGGACAGCAAATGTGTCTCCACCATCTAGGAAAAAGAGCAGTTCCTGCACACCTTCAGGTCTCTCCTGTAGAGGACCTATCTAGGGATATGGCTCTGGGTGTGCAAGGAAGCGCTTTCCCTTCTCCGACGAACCTACAGATTTCAGGGAAGCATTTCAGAACCTAAGAAGAACCTTCTGGGTCAGGTCAAATGGGACCCATCTAGTCCAGCATCCTGTTCTCAGATGCCCCAATGCAAAACCCACACACAAGCAGGACCCACGAGCCCCACAGCAACCCTCTGCTCCTGCGCTTCTCAGCAAACTGGTATTCAGAAGCATTTCTGCCTCTGTCCACGGATGCAGAGCAGAAACCATCACGGCCAGTAGCCATCAAGAGTCTTTCATCCTAGATGAAAGGAAGAGCGTTTCTACGACATGTGACTGTGGCAGCATGAACCCTGCCCCTCCCTGGCTCCTACAGCCCATGGGGAGAAGGTCCTACGGCAATGACTGGGATAGCTCAGTGGGTAGAGCACAAGGCTCTTAATCTAAGGGTTGAGAGTTCGAGTTCCACGTTGGGGGGAAAATTCCTGCATTGCAGGGGGTTGGACTAGATGATGCTCAGGGTCACATCCAATTATATGATTCTGTGTGAAAACCCCATGGGATTAGGAATGCCCAGCAGCCTAATTTCATCTCCTTTTAGTCTCACTGGCACTCAAGTCACAGGTCTCTCCTGCCCTGTTTTGTGCAGATCTTTGGAAAGAATGCACAGAAAAGCTCTGCATTCAAATTCCATGCGTTTTGATTTTTTTTAAATGCACTTTTAAATCATACAAATGGGTTCTTCTGCTGCACAGAGCGCATGGAATGTCCTCCCCCACCATCTTTATTAAGAGGCCTTTTGGTGTCCAGAAAAGCATCGCCTCTGGAATGTCCTGCCATGACTCAGGACCTGGACATAAATTCAGGAAGCTTGCCTGCAGAAGAGGATTTGTATGGGGCAGGGATCCTAAGACAAAGTCACTGCAGATCACAAAGGGGGAAGAGGCAGACCCAGTATATCTGAAGGAGCGTCTCCACCCCCATCGTTCTACCCGGACACTGAGGTCCAGCACCGAGGGCCTTCTGGCAGTTCCCTCACTGCGAGAAGCCAAGTTACAGGGAACCAGGCAGAGGGCCTTCTGCCCTGTGGAACGCCCTCCCACCAGATGTCAAAGAGAACAACAACTACCAGACTTTTAGAAGACATCTGAAGGCAGCCCTGTTTAGGGAAGCTTTTAATGTTTGATGTATCACAGTATTTTAATACTTTTTTGGAAGCTGCCCAGAGTGGCTGGGGAAGCCCAGCCAGATGGGCAGGGTATAAATAATAAATTATTATTATTATTATTATTATTATTATCACCCAATGAAGCCTCCGCTCCACCCATTACCTTCTGGGCATCTTCAGACACCAGAGATTCCTCTCCAGGATCCTCTGCAAACCTCCCCACCTGCCCACATCCAGGCCATACACAGAGGGATCAGTGGACCCTCTGGGACACATGGCCGAGGTGGCAGAGTGCAGGCGATTTCATCTATGACACAGGTTCCCAAACTGCTGCCTGTGGTCCACCACAGCTCTGTGAGGGTCATTCAGGTGGTCCACGGCATGGATTTGTGGATTTGTGGTTGAAGGAGAGAGGCGGCGCAGCCTTCGCACTAAATTTCCGTATCGATTTCTAATTGTATTTTTACTGCTTCGCTTATTCCTTACATTGCATTTTATTGCATTAAAATTGGAACCCTATGGAATTCAAACTGTAATGCAGTAGGATAGAATGCGTAAGAAAGAAAAGCAGGAATTTTAAAAATGCAGCTAAAAACCATACAGCATCTAGTACAACACACTGCAATTGCTAAAGCAGGCATTTTATATATATATATATATATATATATATATATATATATATATATAAAAAGAATCATTACATGTTCCGCCAAGTTCCGCAGCAATTTCCAAGTGGTCCATTGGGGTTAGTTTGGGAACGACTGCTCTATTTAGTCTCCTTCCCGGGGATTTTGTGCCACGCACCCTTCACTGGAACAGGACTGCACTGGACCAGCACTGCATTGCAGTGGGTTGGACTAGATGAGCGCTGGGACCCCTTCCAACCCTACAATTCTGTGGGTCTATAATTCTGTGAACTCTCAGAGACGAGCAGGAGATTCCCGGCCTTCGCTTTGCCCTCCAATGGTGCGCCTGCTGGGATCTATCCATGGTGCTGAAAACACGGGCCATTCATAATCTATGTCAGAGGTTGTCCACCTGGCTCTCACTGGTACACCCGTCTTCCCCAACACCCACATGGCCCTCTCCCCGTCCCCTCATGGAGGTTTGGCTTGAAAGCAGCATTCTGTTGCAGCCTGAGAATTGTGTGCTTGGCTGCAAAGCTGTGTGTGTGCAGCAGTTTGCCCGGCTTGCAAACGTGCCCCCAGAAAGGCTGGCAACCTCCACGACTCCAGCTCTCCCTTCCTTGGCTGCTTGAAATGGGGGGTGCCTGTTTTCATTTTCCTCAGTCAAAATGCTATTAGATCCACAAGGGGCAGGGTGGGGGGAAGATGCAGGAAGATCTCTTTTGCTTTTGGGAAGGGGGAGCATTTAAGACTGCAAAGAGTGGCAAGAGGGGGAAATATATACAGTGCTACCTCGGGTTACAGACGCTTCAGGTTACAGACACTTCAGGTTACAGACTCCGCTAACCCAGAAATAGTACCTCGGGTTAAGAACTTTGCTTCAGGAGGAGAACAGAAATTGCACGGCGGCAGCGGGAGGTCCCATTAGCTAAAGTGGTACCTCAGGTTAAGAACAGTTTCAGGTTAAGAACAGACCTCCGGAACGAATTAAGTTCTTAACCTGAGGTACCACTGTAAATCTACCTAACTCCACCTGGAGCTCCACTTCCTCAATTCGCAAAGCACATCCAAAACCATGGCAAGCCCCAAAGGCAGATCAGCGGCACCAACCTGGTCCCCCCCCCCCCCAGCTTCCAGATCCCTGGACCTCTTGGCTGGGTTCTTCTTCCTCCCTACTTCCTACTTCCTCTGCCCCTTCCTTGCTTGGCCTCGGCTGGCAGCTCCTCTTCAGATGGGCCACACAGGGCAGCTTCTCCTTCCACCCAATAGGAGCAGGCCCACAACAAGACAGCTGGGATAGCTCAGTTGGCAAAGCATGAGACTCAGGGTTGTGAATTCGAGGCCCACGTTGGGCAAAAGATTCCTGCACTACAAGGGGTTGGACTAGATGGCGCTCATGGCCCCTTCCAGGTCTTACGATTCTGAAGGCTGAAAAGAGTTCCCAGGCCCTGACCCTCTCACCTGTGGCCTGATCCTGCCAGGGAAGCCCGGCTGCTTTTGAAAGAGCTACGTGGTGAACAAGATGCTTTTGGCTGCAGCTCCCAGAGGGAGACGCTGTCCTCCCTGCCTCTTCTTTCCCTGTGACTCAGCAGGCTCAATATGCAAGGGCTGTAAAAACTCTGCTCCTCACCCTGTCAGCCTCATCTTGCTGCCACCAGTCCTGTCAACTTGGTTAAACTGGCCAAACAGCCCCATCATTTGTGCTTAGGCTGCTGATTTAACACTTGCGCAGCAAAGCCCTTCTCTGGGAACTGCCTGAGAGTCACTTACAAAATAATAAGAATGAAAATTTTGCTGTAACATTTAAATGACTAAAGGGAGATTATGTTTTGAAGGGGGGAACTCCTGAT